AAAAAGAAAAAGAAAAGAAAAGAAAAGAAACACTGATCTCTGGGCACCTGCTTCCCCAAATGCACTGGGTTCTTCCTGCAGCAGGCTTTTACACCTGGGCCAGACCCACGTTTTAAAACATTATTATTTATTTGTTTATTATTCTGTTTTAGAGACAGGATCTTGCTATGCTGCCCAGGCTGGACTGCTGTGGCTAGGTTCAATCACGATGCTCTACAGCCTACTTGGGCGTGAGCGATCCTCTCACCTCGGCCTCCCGAATGGCCGGACTACACGTGTGAGTCACGGCACCTGGTCTAGGCCCACAGTTTTAAAGGCCAGCTAGATGGTTCCAGAGGAACTCTGTCATCTGCTTATAACCTGCCCCTCTCTTGTTTTCATCCTTCATGATTCTGGAATTCCATGCTACAACAAGAAATCTAGAAAGCACGGAGCTGAGTTGGATTCCTCTGTCATCCTCATGCCCCTGCCCTATCAGCTCAATGAAGATGTGACCTGGAACTCAGGTTTCAGGCCAGACTGAGCATGAGTCTCCGCTCTGGAGGAATCACTTGATCAAGGCGGGCGGACCACCTGAGGTCAGGAGTTTGAGATCAGCCTGGGCAACACAGTCAAACCCTGTCTTTACTAAAAATACGAAAATTAGTTGGGCATAGTGGTGGGCACCTGTAATCCCAGCTACTCGGGAGGCTGAGGCAGAAGAGGTTGCAGTGAGCTGAGATCGTACCACTGCACTCCCGCCTGGGTGACAGAGTGAGACTCTGTCTCAAAGAAAAAACAAAACATCAAAACAAAAGTTTTTATCCATCATAAGCGCTGAACAAAACAGTAGTAGTATGATTTCCCCATCAGTCACCTGCCTGGCCTTTTTTCTTGTCAAATCCCTTCCTTTGGTCTGAGACGTTGCTCACCTTGACCACTGTCTGGTCTCCTTCCCATCTATCCTCCTGCTGCAGGCAGCCTGTACCCACCACTCCTCATCTTTGTTGCTCCTAGGTCCAGCCTTGCTGGCACTCCTTCTCTCTAACACTTTATTGTCTCCCATACTCTAAGGAACATATGCAAGGCAATCTGTAATTTCCAATTTTCTAGTGACTACATTATTTTTAAAAAGTAGGGCCGGGCGCGGTGGCTCAAGCCTGTAATCCCAGCACTTTGGGAGGCCGAGGCGGGTGGATCACGAGGTCAAGAGATCGAGACCATCCTGGTCAACACGGTGAAACCCTGTCTCTACTA